GTTCCTCCACTCAGAGGATCCCAAGGGGATGGGGGATGTGAAGGACAGATCAGATTATAAATTGAAAAATAGTTGAAGGAAAATTCTTTATGTTAAAAAACTAATGATATAATTGAACAATATATCATGATCTTTTTCTGCAAGGTTTTTGAGATATGGCAAAGGCTTGAATATATATTGAACATTTTCTGAACTTTCAGACGTTTCTGTGGGGACACAAATCGCTGTGTCCATTTTCTAAAACTAATTCAACATTCACTTCACTGCTCTGATTTAATAATAGATATTTTACATTGGCAGATACTAAAATAAGATTGTAATGTGTTTACGGGCCCTTACATTTATGTCTATAAAAGAACCTTTGAATGTTTTTGTAAATGTACGATTGGAAGACTAAACTGTTACTTATGGTTAAGAATAATACAAATTTTAAATGATGAAACGCTGTCTTGTTATTAAATTATAAACAAGTGGCACTACAGAATGACACAGACTTCACAGTACTAGTTAGTTTCATATTCTTGTGCTATCTTTAGGGTTGTGCTAGCTCTTCCTAGTTGTTATCTTTCAGTGCCTAAAAGACTTACTAGGACCTCTCTGGGACCATCCCATTGTAAAGCACATTATTGCTTCCTGTACATGAATCCTGATTGTAAGGCCTATTTCAGTATTTTAACCTTTGCATGCTTGCCTATGATATTCCTTGGTCTTGGTGCTTGTACCAGTGCTGGGCGTAGGGATCCAGTACCTCAATTACACATCTTGCATACAGTTGTCTGTGTGGGTAAGAGATAATGGATAATGAAGGACTGGTGCATTTGAAATACACGATTGGCTTGGAATGCCACTGCCTCGAAAGGAACTTAAAACATGTGTGCCTTATGAAGGTTTTGAAACCATAGCCTTTGTGTCCATGTACTTGGATACATCTGCCCCAAGACACTCACGTGTTCAAATCACTTTACTGTACTATTTATAAACATTGTACAGTTATGTAACGTAATAATTATTTGATAAAACTAGTATAATTAAAAACTGACCTTTTTATGCCTATGCAATTTTTGATGTGTTTGTAGCCTTAAATCTATGTATCTAAGTGAACATGTAGTAATAAACAATTTCTTTAAAATTAACCAACTAGAGAAAATGTTTAACATAATATTTACATTTTAGTTACTTTAATGGTTTAGTTTCCTTTCAGGTAATATTTACTTTGAGGAATGGTGTATGAAAAAACACATTAACACATTGAAAAACACACATTTTTAACAGTTAATTTTTCGGTTTTCTATCTGTAGAACTGAATTATTGTTTTTAAGTATATCACAGAGTTAAATATGTTTCTTTGTGCACATTGAAAAATTTGGGGCCATTTTTAATGAAATGTCCTATGAGCTTTTCTGAAAATTCACGATTTTAAGCTCATTTTCACACTCACTTTCAATTGAAATTTTTCATTTCATTTGAAACACTCAAACTCAATAATGCATTAAATTATAACATGTGGAGCTGCAACTGCACATATTTTCTTTCATTATTTCCAAATTTGCAATTTTTGAAAATTCAGAGTGTCCAACAAAAATTTTGCTATTCTTTTAAACATTCCTTGATCTATCTGTGGAAAAAATTTTAAGAAAAAGCATGAAGTGGTTTTGAGGATTTTATTTTTTAAATTGCATTAATTACACAATTATGCAAAAACTACTTGCTTTTGCCCTTTCTCCCACATTTGGGCACCATGGGCTAGAGGAAATAATTTACAACCCATAGGAACAAGATCAACTTTTTCAGTATCATAGACCCTGGTACACTTTTTCTGCCTTGTGAGTTTTTTCCAGCATTTAACTTGATACTTCATAAGTGGTATTCGAAAAAGTAAAAACAAAGCTGGGTTCATTGTTGGTCTCCCACTCCGTGTAGGTGAGAAATTATTAACAGAAATATTTCATGTGTTGTTACTAAGATGTTATTAGTTTAATAAATATTGTAACCAATAACAGCAAAAACACAACTGTAAACAAACAATATAAAGGAGAGAGACTTTGTGTTCCTGAGTTAGACAACCAAGGTTATTCCAAACTATGAATAATCCTACACTAAATTATTCTAAATGGTTAATTTGAATTTTAGGTCATTTCATTCTTGATACCATTTTGGATTTTGCAAGCTATCTGATCTTTTTGTGGTCTTCATCAATAAGATTTGAAACTCTATGGGTAAAACTAAAGAAAATTTAAATAGATACAGAATTTAAGCAATTTGATTAGTAATTTCAATGTTGCATACAATATCCACCACAAAAACTATCTATACTCACCGAACCATTCATTAAAAGAGAACAAATATTACAAACAGCAGTGTAATACACTTCTGAATATGCACCCAGCACTAATGCTGCGATAAATCAGAAACTAAATTATTGGCTAACTGAAGCATGTTTACAAGTGTATTTGGGTAGGGTGTGTGTGAGAGAATTCATTTAAAAATGTAAAGAAAGTGTACGTGTGTACTTGCTGTAAATTTTGTAATCGTTTTACAAGGTGCTTTGTCAATGTGGAAGAAAACTTGACAGATCATAATTTTGCAGAAAGTATGATTATTCTGCCCACCAGAATTGATGCTACTGTTCTTGAATGATTAAATCTAGTTAAAATTTGAGGCAAACAACAATTGTATGTATGAGCTAGACAGTTTTAACTGGTTCATATTTTGGACTCAGGTTTTACTTCTTTAAAGTGTACATTTACATTACATAATAAGTAATATTAATATTTTGAAGAATTTGTACTTGTCAATTGAATGCTGTATAAGTACTAAATCAGTTGGCAAATTTCCAGATAAAGAATTTTTCTTGCAGTTTTATTTGTAATTTTTGGAGTACCTAAATGCATTTTCGGTTCAGCTCAATTAATTTAATGTTAAATGCATGTGTGTTCAATATACCTGAATGCAAGTACATTATTGCATATTTTTATTTGTGCATTCTTTTCAAATGACCTTGTGCATGAAAATGGTATTTTGTGTTACTTGATGATGCTGTGTGTGCATTACAGAATGATCAATTGAGAATTTGCTTTTGCTTTGTTAGTATTTCCTTATGTGTAGTTCATAGAATTACTAGCAAATGTATGAATATTTCAAAAGCCTTTATATTATTGTTAAAAAATATTTTTATTCAATTGTAGGAACCAAATACACATTTTGCTCTCTCTTTCCTCTCTCTCTTCTCTCTCTCTCTTCTCTCTTTCCTCTCTCTCTTCTCTCTCTCTCTCTCTCTCTCTTCTCTCTTTCCTCTCTCCCTCTCTTCTCTCTCTCTTTCTCTTCTCTCTCTCTCTTCTCTCCTCTCTCTCTCTCTCTTCTCTCTCTTCTCTCCTTTTTCTTTCCCTCCCTATTAAATTGCATGATTAACATAAAATAGAGAAAACTTGCATTTTGAATATGAATACTGTTTTCGTCTTTAGTTGTATTTACTATTGTTGTTTCAGTCGTCCCTTTCTGGCCAAGAAGGGATTCAAAGGGTGCCCTTTTTCCTCTTTCTTCTTTAGTATTTTTATTCAGAATATTACTGTAGATTGAAATGTATGGTATGTTTACAAAGATTTATAAATTAGGAGTGGGGATAACTGATAACATGTATTAAAATGCTATAAATTGAACAGTTAATACATCAACACATTGGAAAATACACAATAAAAATATCAGTGCATGGAAAAAGGTGTTACGTTGCTTGAAAACTCCGGTTACTCTGCTTATCAGATTTATTTTACTCACTTTGGGTATGATATTCAGGGGGTCTGAAATATTATATTTCACTATATTCATTTATTTTGACAATTTTTTAAACAATTCACATTTGGTACTTTACATTTATTCACATGATAAATTAAATTAGTTTTAAAATACAAAAGTTAATAAAAAAGGGGAAAATGTTAGAGACCTTTAAAAATTAAAAACCAATGAAGGGGGAATGTGGGCCAGAAATTAATTTTTGGTTTTTATTCTCATATAATTTCTCACAGTTTTTAGTACATTCTCCTGAAGTTTTGCACCAATCAGATTGCGGGAAGATCTTTAAAATTTAAATAACATCCCAGCATGGCATCAAGATGCAAAGTTGATGGGGGTCTCTGAAATGAGGATGGAGAAGAGAATGTTGGCTGTGGTTTCAGAATAATAGAGAGGCTAGTAAATACTTTGTGAGGTGATAAGTAAATTGTTGTGTAATGAATGATAAACAAAGTCTATGTTTAGGGAATAATGGAAAAATAAAAAAATTAAAGTTTTGATTTACTTAACATTTCCAAATTGCCTCTTTGGCATTTGCAAGGACATTTGTTTTAACTTAAACTACTCCTTACTGTAGTTTGTTATGCACATAAAACAAAATATTGTTCTAGACATTTAGTAGTAACAGATTCATTTTCTGTTCTGAAACAATCGCACTGCACTTATGTTTTTTTGAGAGAAGTGTGAAAACAGGCTCGTGAATTTGCATACATAACTTACTTTTTAATACTTTTTTGAGAGAATTTGTTCATAATAGATAACATAATTTTTGTAATATGCTAGAAATTACTATACTTCCAAAGCCTTGGGTGTTATATTTCATACCAAAACAATTTTTTATGTTTTCAAAATCCGCATCAACTTCATATCTTTTAATCTACAGTATTTTCCAAAATTAAAGAAATCAGAAAACATTTTGTGTTTATTCCCTTGTGGGCAATTGTCTTGAACATGTGGGAAATGTGCACTTCTTTTTGTAAGCTTTTCTGTTTAAAAATGTGTTTTTCGTTATCACTAACATATATTTTTGTTTTGAAGAATTTGTGTTCCATTAAGTGGAACGAACAGAAATGTTGTTTGCCTCTTATGTTGAAATACTTAGAAGGGTGAATTTCCATTTAATAATTTTTACAAAATTTACTTCAAAAGGAGCAATGGAGAATTTGAATTGTATCTATTAGTTGAAAAGTACTAAGTCTTAATATGGTGTGCAGGTACAAGCAGGCCAAGCCCCAACTGTTGAAGTTTTAAAATTAATGGAAGCTTACCAAGATGAAGATAACTTTACTGTGTGGTCAAGCATCAACAGTTGTTTGGTTAGACTTTCGTTATTGCTCTCGTACACTGATTATGAAGATTCTTTTAAAGCTTACGGGCGCAAATTGATGTCAAAAATTTGTTGCCGATTGGGCTGGGATCGACGAGAGAATGAAAGTAAATATTTGATGTATTTAGTTTAATTTCATATTCTATTTCATACTTCTCTGTAAATGTCTCTTGAAATTGTTTTTTAATACTTTGTGTTTACAGGCCATTTGGACACACTTTTAAGATCATTGGTTATTGGTCGTCTTGCATGGTTTGAAGATGAGAATGTAATTAATCAGGCCAAACAACGCTTTGCTGATCATGTATCTGGCAAAGCATTGCTTCCAGCTGATTTGAGGAGTCCTGTGTACAAAGCAGTACTTTCAGTTGGAGATGAAGATACTTACAACACAATGTTGAGGGTTGGTTTTTCTTTATTTGATTTCACTCATAGTGGTATAATTAATATTACTTAAATGAATAATCATGTGAAAATTCATGAAATTGTGGTCATTTTATTTCTCATAAACACTGTCATGTGCTAAATGCAAAAAATGTCCATCACTACAACTTTTTGTTGTGGTTATTCAATTTAGGTGACAAGATATAGCTCTTAATTTGTAATGTTGTTTATAATTTCTTAAAAATATTATCCTCTTTACAGCTGTATAGAGAAGCAGATCTCCACGAGGAAAAGGACAGAATTTCTCGGGCTTTGGGTGCAATCAGAGATGAATCTGTTCTCAAGAAGATACTTCAGTTCGCAATTTCTGTAGGTAAATTTACTTTACACTGACATTTTCATACACTCAGTTTGTCTAATAATTAATTATTGGCATTTATTAATTATTCTTTCAGGATGAAGTGAGATCACAAGATTCAGTATTTGTCATTATATCTGTAGCAATGACCAGACGTGGTAGAGAATTAGCTTGGGATTTCATTAAAGAAAATTGGAAAATGCTCTGGGATAGGTATGAGGTAAGCATCTTGTGTCAAGTGAGTAAATTATTTAATTAGAATTACATATTGATAAATGTAATTTAAGATTTTATATTCTGCTTTTCTGAAGAAAAGTCCGTATTTTGATAATTTTTATGTAAGTTGTCTGGTTCTTTCAAATATTACTTCTAAGGAAAGTTCATTGTCGACCATTTCTGGCTCCATCCAGTGGCCTATTTCCATCAAGTAACTTTTCATCTTAGAAACAGGAACAATTTGATGAATAAATAATTAAAGATTAGACAATCTATTGCAGTGAAGTGTCAATAATTCAAACATCTGTATCTGGACTGTCAGTAATTTGAATTCAGTTCTGGCAGATGAAAAAGAAAAAGAATAGTATGAAGTGAATTCTGTATGTACATACTATTTTTTAAAAACATTGACACAATTTAATAATTTTTATTTAAATATTGATCACTAAAAATTATTGGAATATAATATCATTAAAAACTTGAAAATGTGACTGAATTAATGGTTTCATTTGTTTGTTCCATTTCTGCAAGCAAATTATGAATGATTTTTGAAACTTGATGTCTAACTGCCCATTTGATTTGTTATTTTGAAAATCCAGACAATTTGATATTTTGGAAGGGGTCCAGTACTGAATTATTGACATTATACTGAACTTCAGTAATATGAATAGTCAGTAATAATTAAATTTGTATATGTATTTAACAGGGTGGTTTCCTGCTATCACGTTTGGTAAAGTATCCTACAGAAAATTTTTCATCTGAAGAAAGGGCACAAGAGGTAGAACAATTCTTTAAGGAGCATCCATCTCCAGGCACGGAGCGCACAGTTCAACAATGTATAGAGAGTATTCGGTTAAATGCTGAATGGTTGGCTCGAGACCAGGATTCAATACGTGCCTTCCTAACCTCTGCCTCCCAGTAGCCCGGAATCTTTAAACCACAGCTCAGGGTCTTGAGTACTTGATAATACTGTATTGTACAATTATAGAATTACTTTTTGTTCTGTATTTTCAGTATTTAGCCCTGCAAAATTGTGGAGATCATGTTATTAACATATATTGTAAAATTAAACAAGTCTTTTTGTCTTTAACTATCTCTAAAAAATGCATTCTTTGTTTCTGCCTACACAATCCTCATAATTCTTTTTAATTGTAATTTAGTCCATTGAATTGTTAATTTTTGAATTTTCTATTTATTTATTCTAAAAACAAATATCCTAGCCACAAAATAGTAAAATAAAAAGTTGATAAAGCCACATTATGAATATGTGTATCGTAAATCCTAATCCGTAGTACAGCTTGCTGTAGAAAGTACCTCTTTAAAATATCCCTGTGAGGGTGAATTCTCATTGCTAACATTTTGCAAATTTTTACTTGATAGCCTTCAAAAGCAGTGTTATGATTGAATTGTAAAGAATCATCTTCATAAGTTAAACTGATCTAAAATGATATAAGAGTTGTGTAAATTATATAAGTTGTATGATTATGATTTCAATCCATCAAATGTGCTTTTATTGAAGTTTTTTATGGCACTTATTTGTTAAGCCTGCAGACCTGTAGATATAAGACATGTGTCACAGTAGAATGTTCCTTTGTTCTTTACATGCTATAATTTTGAGAAAGATCACTCTCCACTGGATTTATTACCCGAAAGAAAATGGTAAATTTTTAAGACAACATATAGTAAAGCGTGAGCCTCTTCAAAACGTTTGTCAGCTATAATGCATATATAAAAGTTTGTAAGCTGTTTTGTTATTCAGAATGTCAGATAAATTTGCCTTCAAGTGTTTGAAAAACAAGTTTCTCTTAAATATTAACATTCTTCAAGATGTGCTCAGGCACAATGTTCAGGATATGTTTGAATAAATTTTAATGCGCCAACTCTGACTAGTATCTCAGTAAATGCCAGAAAATACTCGTACTAGTGCTCTAAATTGACACAGACTTGTGCTAGTTAATTCCCCCTTAGCGGTGCCTAAGGGACCTACGAGGGTCTCCCACTCTAATCACCATTGGACAATTCTCAGTGAAGAGAACCCTTGCACCTCACAAACACCATATCCCTTTGGCCCATCTCGGTCTTGTACCATTATATTATGGGTCAGTGGGTACCCTGTGGGCTGGCCCAAAACACTGAGACTGAAGAACTTGACCCTACTATTTGTAAATGTGTTACAGTTGTGTAAAATAGTATAATAATTATAAAAATAATAAATCATGCCATTTTGATGCATATATATCCTGTAATGAGCTTTGTAAAATACAATCAAATTGTCTCAATGACATTTGACATCATTTGTTTTCATTGCAACAATGTAACCAAAGTTGTTAAGGTATCACATTTTGAAATCTTTTACTTACAAAAACTTTCAAAGAACTTCACTGAAAATCATTTGCAGTATTTGTTCTCATAAATGCTGTAACTTATAAAAAAACTGTTCACGATGCTTAAAACACCTTCAACTTTGCACTCGGTACTGAACAAAGTTCTCAAAATTAAATCTTTTGCAGAAAATGTTTGAATGAATGTATGAATAATAAATGTTTGAATGAATATATTATTTACACTTTTTCATAAGTAACAAAGGTTATTTTTCTTTTTTGTAATAGGGGAAATGTTTTTTTGTTAAAAAAGAAAACAGATACATTCTTTTCAGTTTTCTCATTAAAAGTTAGATTGAAATAAGACCTTGAGGATACCATAGAAACTATCTTTTCATGTAAAACTTTTCAGGGGGGAGAGATCTGGAGCTGTTTTTGAGAAAATATCTTTTGAGGGTTTCTGAAAGTGGACAATTTTGGGCTCTAGTGCTCAAGAAAACGCAGATATCAAGGAACTTAATTGGAAAACATTTAAAATATTTGTTTCTCAAAAATGCTTTAAATTATTAAAGTACTTTGTTAATATAATAACTAAGATGGCGAGGCGGTTAGCGTATCATACTGTTGTACCCAAATTGGCGGGTTCAAACCAGATTGAAGCCGTGGATTTTTAAGGGTGAAAAAATCCTTCGTACACATTCCTTCGGAGGGGAAGTAAAGCCGGCTGCCCCATGTTCGATTTATTTGCATGTAAATCTAATCGCCCAAGAAATACCTCCTTTCTCTGCTAGTTGGTGAAAGGAGCATAGCGAAATTTTCATGATCAGACTGAAGAGCAGGCCTCATGGCCTGAGACTCACCACGTAAAATAAGGCATTAATTCAATTCAATAAGTTAAAAACTTAACAACTTAAAAAAATTCATTTGTGTAATTTTTATAAATAAAAGTTTTCATCTTAATGGATCTTTATTTCCTGGTTTAATGTATTGTGCTTTATCCATACAAACAGTTCAGGTGAAAATTCAGATCCCCTCTTGGCACCTCCCTTTGTGTTTCCAAAAAGAAACAATATTTTTAATTAAAAAACATTAATTTAAACTTTACTATGTAATTTATTGCACCAAAATTTGATCAGTCTGTTAGTGAGCTGTAAAAGTATTGACAATTTCTTTAAAAATAATAAAAAAACATCAACATTGGATATTAAAGAAAAATATTTCAGCTTTAAAAAGCAGCTTTATCTCTTTGGGGATGTATTATGTGGGTTTTAAGTGTGATTCTGTTCTGTTAGAATAGTATTGTTTGCGCTTACATCCAAATCAATCTAAAACTGGTAAAAGTGCTCCCCCTTTTTCTTAAAAAGTATTGTGGTTCTTTTTAAAATGTTTGGGAGATAAATTAAATTTTTTACTTATACCGATACCCAGAATCATCTTTGGGGGAATCATTTCATTCACTTTGGGTGAAAATTGTGGAAGGTATGATCATATGTTTACTTTCCCGTATATATAAGTACATATGGAGTAATATGTGTAGTATAGGGAAAGTTAATGCGCGAACACGGTGGATTTCCCGCTGAAAAAATCACTGCCGGCCCCTGATAACGAAAAAGTGAGTAAATCCAGTTGCTAAATCAAGGGAGGTATCTTTTAACCCTTAGAGTAGCCCCAGAATCCCTGTTTTGCGAGTTCTTGATTCCAAAAAGCAATTGACGGCAAAATGTCCGTCGGTCAGTCTGAGAACACCACTATGGCCTAAACCATACATACGATTTTTTTTCAAAATTGGATCTTCTCCAATCGATATGGCTCTACTCGAGGCGACGCAATTTTTGAAAAACTTTCTTCAAAATTTGGGGGTATTTGAAATGAGGTGTAATGTTTTCCGCGTCTTCCTGCAACTACAAAATTGGAGATTGAGGTTTTTCCGTCATACGAAATTTGTTGACCATGATTAGTTCTTCCGTTAAGATAATTTTTTTTAAAACTTTTAGTAGCATTCGTTTAATTTTAATATTACATGCAATATTTGCAATTTAAAAAAAACAAGATTTTCTCAAAACGGCTCCATTTTTCCTTCAAACTTTCGGTAGGGATAGTGCTAAATGTTCTCTATGAGATGACATTAACATCATTTTTCTTTATTCTTTTGTTGTTTCAAAAATTACAAAAATGTATTTTTTTACTAGTCTCTCACGTTTATATTTACATTAGCTGCAATTTGTTCACATTAATTTATTTATGAGTACCTGTGCTTTAAATAATAGCAGATAAAATGTCTCGAAAAGACAAGTTTTCTGTGAAAATGAGCTCAAAATTCCGCATTTTCAGAAACACTCAAACGCCATTTCCTCAAAAATGGCGCAATTTTTTTCTTCAAACTTTTCCAACGGATAGTGCTAATTGCACTGTCTAAGATGACAATTAATATTGATGTATTTCTTCTTTTTTTTAATTTCACATATGTTTTTTTTAACTATCTCTGACTCCTTTAATTTGCACATTTCCAGCGATTTGTAAACACTTGCATTTATGACTGGTAGTACTTGAAATGACTTAATATGAAGTTTTCGAAAACTATAGTTTTCTGTGAAAAGTCAATTTTCGATTTTCTCTTAAAACGGCTCCGTTCTTTTCAAAGAAAATTGCCCTTAAGGACGAGTTTTCACTGTTTAATATTCAAAAAATAATATTTACGTTCTATTATTAGGAAACCGAAAAATTAAGAAAATTTCAACCAAAAATATGTACTTTGGGCGGCGATAGATGGCAGCTTGCAAGAGAATGTGGCAAGTCCGAGACCAAAGGAAATAGAAAACTAATACGGGAAAGTCCGTGACACTCTGTAGCACCACTAGTTACATTTACGTCATGTAACGTCGCACTGTGGAAGAGTGTTTAGTTTGCAAATCCGGAACGTACTAGTATCTACGACGATCTAGAACGTACTATCCGGTACTAGTCGTTGTTTTAATGTCTTGAATTTATTTTAAATGGGTATTTTTCGCCCATTCTCATCTGGTAACCATAATCTGGAGGGAAGTTTTAGAAGCGGCCGGCCTCCCTGACAGTTTCCTAGTTTTTTCTTATCAATACCAGGTGAATGTCGAAGCAATACTTACCATAACAAAAGGACCGCGCGATCTTTACTTCCTCATTCCATACTACCCCCACCTCTCCCCTAATACACACCGTGCATTATAATACCACATGTGGGCAACTAAAGGTTTGCCCCGAGTGGGTTGAAGTTAAAGGGTAAGTCGACGTATTTCTCAGCACTGAACCTCAAATTTCAGCCGGGAGGAACGCCACCACCTCCCGGGATATAATTTTAACAATACGTGCATGACTAACGACTATACAGTTGACGAGCCATGAGACGGAACATTTTCGGGAACGTGTACTGTATACCAGCTGGTATCAGCCACATTGAGAGCCTCCGTTCCATTTTTTGTCCATTGGTACCGGCCGGGCATGACTGACGTGAGAGTTATAGTAGAAACGGCAGATTCGAATTCATTCGAAGATATTGACGCCACTTTATTTTTTTTAATGGAAGTATATATTTTTTTTCAGCAATATTATAAAGATCTCAAAATAGAGGAATACAATGATATAAGTATTGTTAATATTGGAAGAGAAAGTGTAGAAAAAATGCGTTTTGCATTTCCTCAGAAACCTCGTCATTCGTGTCTTTCCGAAACAGTTCTTCGGCAGGCGGAAAGTTTCTGTCCGTTGCCGCCACAGCGCTCTGCTCTAGAGAGAAATTGGTCACGAGCGGGAGTTCACAGTTGTAGCAACTTGTGAGAAGGTGAAACATCTCTCAACACTTTCAGTTCAACGTTGGCTTTCGTAATGAAATTTACAAACGAAGAAAAACTCGACGCTGTTCTTATTTACGGTGAGTATGGAAGGAACGCAAAGCAAGCAGCGGAAATCTACGCGAAAAGGTATCCGAATCGGAAGCGTTTATCAAGAAAAACCTTGGTAAGAATATGCCGACGTCTGTTATCAAGCGGTGACTGGAATTCAAAAACACGTGAGAGAACGAAACCTGCTACCGGCGAGGACAAGGTAGTAGATGTTATGACATGTATGGCTGCAAACTGCCATGTGGGTTCGCGAGAGATTGCTAGAGACTCAGGTATAAGTCAGAGAAGTGTTCTTCGTGTACTTCACCGGTACAAATTCCATCCGTACCACGTTAGCCTTCACCAGCAGTTGCATGAAGGTGATTATGAACGTGTTCAATTTTGTAGATTTATCCTTATGTCACTGAGAGACGACAAAAGATTCGTAAACAGAATACTATTCACCGATGAAGCGACTTTCACAAACCATGCACAAGTAAACCTAAGAAACATGCACTATTGGGCGACGGAGAACGCAAAGTGGATCCGTCAAGTGGAAAATCAGCGGCAGTGGAGTGTGAACGTCTGGTGCGGGATCATTGATAATTTTATCATCGGGCCGTACTTCATTGAAGGAAAAATGACATGTCAAGTATATTCTAAATTCCTGAAAGAGACCTTGCCAGCGTTGCTACATGAAGTTCCTTTGGAGTTGCGTCTTGGCATGTGGTATCAGCACGACGGTTTCCCTGCACATTCTGCTGAAGTGTCAAGGGCAGTTCTAAATGAAACATTTGCTGGTCGCTGGATAGGAAATGGCGGTGCGGTGAAATGGCCACCTCGGTCACCCGATCTCACACCACTTGATTTCTTTCTGTGGGGAAGTTTGAAAAATACTGTATACGCAAACATTCCTTCGACTCCAGAAGTATGAAGAGGCGCATTACAGAAGCTTGCGGCAAGATAACGCTAGAAACGTTCCAATCCGTGCGTCGGTCGCTGGAAAGGAGACTGCAAATGTGTATTGCCGTGGACGGTAAACATATTGAGCACATGACGTGAAGACTACCCCGTGTTCTATTTTATGGAATGTAAATTTCTTTTATGCGTGCTAAAGGTCTTATTTTTATCAATACTGTGCTTCATTGTTTTGCTTTCTTGTATTTAAGTTCTTATGTTACTGCACTGACTTGAAGCATAGCAAACTTATTCTGTGAAAATAACTTAGCTGTCAAAGGAATAAAATTTGTATTCCACAATGCAGAATGTACCGTATTGTTCAATCAATTAAGATAATCAGAAAAGACCGAATTTACACTTTACTTGGACGCACTCATAAAATGTAAATTTGGTATTTGATTGTCTTAAATTATTACGTTGTCGCATTCCTATGTTTCTCTTCCTAACATATATTCATAATGTATTGTTTACTGCAATAGATGTAGTATACAGGTAGTTTTAGAAAGTACTACCATTCAATACATTTTTAGTATGCTATTCTAATTACAAAAGAACAATATGTTTTACTTTCTTTTTCATTTATAGTATATCTACAGTATAATAAAGAAAATATTCAATTCTCGTGATAAATTTTTGTGACAAACTAAATTAATTTTTTACTTAATTTATTAAATTTAATTAATAAAAATTGTCACTTGCAAGTTTTCGGTCGGTTACACGCCGGTATTACTTCACGACCCTCAGCCGTGGACAGTGTTGACTCGCGAAGGCGAGGTCGGATGTTGAAAGTTAGAAAGAAAGAATCTGGCTACAAGCAGTGTCACACGGACTTTTCGTAAACAAGGAAAAAGTCTAGGGAACGTGTGCATCCGCGTCTATTACTTGCTACTTGACATAATGTATATTTGCAAAAGTCTCTCTTCA